CACATCAGCAACCTTGAACCGCTTCGCCGTAGGCTGCGTCTGCACCAGAACCCACCTCATCTCCCTAGCCTGGAGCACCATCTGAATCTCCCACCTCCACGCGGCCTCCTAAAACTCCACGAGTGTACCATAGTGCTGAGTAGACACAAACTGGCAGATGTCTGTCTTAAGCATGCTCAAGTAACGGGTCATTTGAGCTTCCTCGGAAGTAGCAAAATCAGGACAAAACAGAGCCCTATTAGTAAACATCTTGGTGATCTCAGTCACCGACTCAGTTCCCTGCCTCAGATCCAAAGACAACTGGGCTAGCCTCTCCCTCTCCACCTACAGAACATATCTCATGCGAAACATCTCAGAGAACTGCTCCCATGACACCGAAACCCTCTGCTCAGGTGTGTACGAGCCAGTCACTAATCTCCATCAGTCCTTTGCCCCTGACCGAAGAAGGTTCAAGGTGCATTTCATACCATATGATCTATTCTAAATAATGAAACCCTAGGGGTTGTGACTTCCTTGTTACGCATACGGGTCTTGTGCTTCCGGTAGTACGGGCCCATACTACCTTCTACACCTACCTGTATTTGTCTCATAAGATCATCACAACAACCCTAACAGAACAGACTAGGATACACCTACATCCTATTCTCACTCCATAGAAAAAGGCTAGACATTCCTCAATTGGTCGGCTGCTCACACATAAACCCATCCATGAAACTTCCACCAACCGTGCAGCACTCGTGTATGCTAATTATACATAACAATGGATCCTATAGACAGTCGAATACTTTATTCTATCCTAAGCCCTTCGTCAAACAAGAATAGGAAATAAATCCAAACCAAACATTCTCAGGCTATAGAATCTTAGTTATGTACAACTATGATGCATACACTAAGCAACTACAGTAATGATGTCAATTCCATATAAGAAATAACCCTAGGATATCAAGCATCACATAATAGGAAATTCTATCATGTAATTCTTGAAGATCCCTAGCCTACCACTAGCATGTTGTTCTAACATAAACATAATATCAATAACATTATGGGTAAATTGGGATATACTTTCTTGCTCCGGCTGATCGTACACATCACATCCTTCCTTGGTTACTTTTGAAAATAATTTTGAAAACTAGTTTAAAAACTTTTGTTGTTCCCTAGTTTGAGTCTGGATTCACATGAATGTTCATCCAATTCTCTCAAACCAAGGTTCTGATACCAACTTCTCCAAAAATCATAAAAATTTAAAGTTTTTAAAATCAACCATTAACCGTCATTGTTTACAAAAAGAGTCATTGTTTCAAAAGTAAAGTCATATCAGACTGTTCCAAAAATCCATATCATGAAAACAGGAAGATGTGCACGATTAGGCCTTCGTTTTCTCACGATTCTCAGAAGTACCTGAAATGATAAACTAAACTATAAGCCAAAGCTTAGTGAGTTCCCCCAAAGTACCAACACACCACAAAACAAACAAAACATGCAAATATGAGCCTTTAGCCTGAATGGACCGCCTCACAGGGCCTACAGCCTATCTGGACCACTGTACGAGCCTTCGGCATGACTGGAACGTCTCGTAGGACCTACAACGTATCCGAACCGCTCTTCGGTCCTTCGACATGACTGGACCGCCTTATAGGGCCGACAGCCTATCTGGACTGCCCCAGGTGTCTTAGCCTTTAGTACAAAGTAGGACCGCCTCAACCTAACCACAATATGTTGACATATGCAACAGATAATAAACACATAACCACTAAATACAGATAATTATGCAGATCTACTAATCAACCATATACTAGCATATCACTATCCTAAACAGGTTAAATAATCTAGCGGGCTGGCATTGGTGCCTTCGACCCACGAGTACAGTGAGGAAAACTCACCTCTCATTCTGAAAAGATATCTGACATGAAACAACTCCAAATGACAACTCAACTGGTCACCTAAACACCAAATAATGACCGATCTCAAATACCACTCAAATCACCTAAAATAACCTTATGTCAAACTTGGTCAAAGGTCAAGGTCAACAAACTAGCCTAGTCAACCCAACCGAGTCAACCTAGCTGAGTATGTTGGACGTACTCATCTGTACGCGGGTTGTACTCTACTTAACCCAAAAATCAGGCCTTTTACAGCGTACACGCAACGTACCATTTGGTACGCCCAACGTACGCACCTTGTCAGCCCCTTTTCTCATTAAGAGCTTAATACATCAAGTCCTTACGTCCAAAATCAGATCCAAGCCCAAAATGACATCTTTGACCAAAAAGTTTCCAACTTTATGGTCTTGCATGGACAATAAGTGCTTAAAACTAAAAAAAAACTTAACTACTTAACTTATTAAGACCTTTTAACTCATGCATGGAAGGGAAGAAATGATCAAGACCACATTTTTAAGCTTCTAAGCACCACAAAAACATCTGAAAGGACAACTTAAATGGACTGGAGTAGCTCATACTCAAAATACCAAACTAATGGGACCAAAAGGACACAAACTTCATAGCTAACTTAGATCTATGCATAGCTTCATCAACTTTAAAGCTTTTTATCTCCAAATCATGCCAAATGGTGATGAGATTCTGGATGCAAAGAGTCCTACTCCTCCAAAATGATCTTCTCTTCTTCCTCTCTCCTTCAAAGTAGCCAAAACACACACATAAAGCTCAAGAGTACTCAAAAAAGGATTAGGGTTTGTTTGGGGATGAAGGTGGGTTGGAGGCTAATGAAAGAAGGTAGGTTGGGGACTTAAGAATGTTTATATAGGGTCCAAACCCTAAAAATTATGGTTTGGGAATCATGCACATACGCTAGGTATGCCCAACGTACGTGACCTCGAGCTAATAATTACAAAAATATGACTATGGGCCATTTTGCAACATTTATCATACACAATAGCTAGATACAATAAATCTTCATACTTAGGGTTTAACTTGGAAATACCTCATCAACGGGATGTTACAGACATGAAAAAGATGGCTCTGACATCATTGTTGGGTTATGAGGATATTTTGGTCACAAAGGTGTAAACACAGCGGAACCCATATCTAATAAAATTTAGTAACTCATAACACAAGAGTTGGATATATTATACAACTGATCACCACAACAAAATATGATCAAAGAGAAAAGGAAGAGAATCACACATTCATAGTCTTTAATTTCTTCTTTCTCGCCAGGTCAACGGATGTAATAGAACCCAAAGGAGGATTCCTATGATGTAGTCACATCCAAGAAGAAAATAAGCAACACTTGAAACCACCAACTGAAACCCTAAACAATTAGCGTTTCTGTTGTTGAGGCGCGATGCATAGAGAAAGGAAGCGAGACGCGTCAATCGGAACTGATAAGGTTTTAAGAATATCAGAGGGAATCCTAATTTCTTAGGGTTTTTCACTCTTGAGAGAACAACCAAATCCTATTTTTGGGTGCTCTATTTATAGGGGAATGGTTAAATATCTAAGGGATAATTACATGGGCACTAACTAACTGTCCTTAACTTTGGTAATTATGTGATTTTCAGATTCTTACACTTAGGGCCTTCTAGATCTTCAAGTTTCATTTAACTAATTATCAAACAAGATCATTTTAATTCTTCTCTTATCTAATGTTGGGCATATTTATTCTTGTGTGTAACCTAAAAGGACACTGTTATTAATAGTAATATTACCAACTTATTGTGACTATGGACACTATCTTCTAACAGTTACAACACACTAGAATGAATCAATGTAAACCCCTTGATTCTCATGTTTTCAATGGACAATAGTAGTCTCGATTTTATGGAACACTCCTAGATGATGTTCTTACTTATAGGATTAATGTTGGTGCCTTACAATATGTTGTCTTCACCTAACCTGAACTACATATGATGTCAGCAAGGTACCTTAGTTTATTCAACAACCCACTGATAAACATTGGACTGTTATCAAACCGATATTACGATATCTTCAAGGTATTGTTGCTCATGGTCTTATGATATGAAAAAAAAATATTCATATCATTACATACATATTCAGATGCATATTTGGTTGGGTGCCTGGATGATATGAGGTCAACGAGTAGTTTTTTGTGCTTTCTTGGTTCTGATCTCATTAACAACATACTTTGGCTACATCTAGTACATAGGTTGAGTATCGACCCCTTGCTCATATAACTACAAAAATCTGGTGGCTTATATCTTTAACTTGAGAACTAAAATTGTCTTTTTCTTGACCACCTACACTTTGGTGTGATAATTTTGGAGCCACATATATTGATATATATATATATATATATATATATATATATATATATATATATATATATATATATATATATATATATATATATCCATTTTTTAAGAGATATGATGTTATCTCACAGTTTACTTATACGTTATGTTCACACTGCTTCACGAATGGCAGATATTCTCCGAAAGGGGTTACCAGTTTCAAGATTCAAAAAACTTCGATCCACACTTCACATCTTACATGTTGTTTCATTCTACAAAAGGGATTATCAGTTTCAAGATTCAAGCAACTTCGATCCAAGCTTCATATCTTACATGTTTCGCTTGAGGGGTGAGATTTTAAGTGTTGGTTACAATTAAGTGTATTAGTTATAGTTTGTTAGTGGGTTGACGCTCTTTTTTAGGTGAATTTAGATGTTATTTTAGAAGTAGATTATATATTATATTTGTCGGTTAAAAAAACTAATTCATTCAGTATAATAAAAACACACTTCATTTCTCCCCATTATTTCTTCATTTGTTATATATATATATATATATATATATATATATATATATATATATATATATATATATATATATATATATATATTCAAACAGTTCGTTTAATTCGTAACAAAAATGATTTTTATATATACAAAACTTCATCAAAACATAAACTATTGCCTATTTATATCATTTAATCCACAGAAGACTTGATGGAAAAAAATAAATAAACAATCCCGGAATAATTTTTGAACATTAGAATTAAAAGCATATACTAAAATTATCATTAATTTATTTTTAAAGAATACTTATAATCCTCTAGAAAAAGAAACACATAATATTAGACTTGAATCCCCCCCTACAACATAATCATATTTTGATGTCTTACGAATTAAAGCTCACAAAATGAGGGATTAACCTAATCATGATTCATCTAATTAATTCAACTTTCTACTTCTAAAAAACGAACGAAATGTAAAAAAAGAGAATGGGAAATGGGAAATGGAAATTTAGGATAAGATTTGCATATGATATCGGCAAAAAAGGTTAACTTAATTGGGATCTTCTAATAACCGGATTGACTATCTTTCTCTCTTTCCTCTTTGGCATGTGGCACAACCACAAAATCTTAAAACTGTATCGAGACACTAATATGAAGACTTGCTTGCTGGTTCCCTCGGTGCATTGCATCTAAAGCATTCCATTCTACTTGCAAAGTTGTGCTCGTTGCATCCAGGTCTGCATAAATTAATAATCAGTCTTGTTAGACTCGACAAGCATATGTGAATTTGTAAGATTTGCTCATCAAATGATGCATCATGAATAATTCCCAGGACATTGTAGAAAAATGCAAGTCAAAATCTTTGTACGTTTGTAAAACATTTTTCCGTTTGTTTTAATCTGAATTTATTTTTTGCTCTAGTAATTAATTGTTGCTTTCTGTCAATTTACAACTTTGAATCTATAGAAATCAACAGATAAAGCAATGTTGCTTAGGGTATAAGAATAAAGATACTAAAAAAGGCTGCAAAAATAAAGGTAATTGGTGTAATTAAAAGTGTGTTCTTTTTCTTTCTTTTTGGGGAAAACCGTTAACTAAAGCATACCTTCCACATATCCAGTCACCGGACTTCCACCCTGAGCGACTACTGCCTCCACTTCCGCCACCCAACCCAAAGCTCCGGCCACGAACCATGTCACAGTCAAATCCACCACCTCCGGTGGCCAAGTCATCCTTAAACGCACCACACTTGAAGCAACTCGAGCGGCTAGCGAAGTTGTGAGCTCCACAGTTTCCCACATTGCAGTACCAGTCTCCTGGCCTCACATCTGGCCCCGTGAAACCAAATACTGACAAGTTCATCCCCCCTCTGGCGCCAAAGCTTCCAAAATCACCACCATAGCCACCACTGCCACCACCACCACCAAAGCTCCCAAAATCACCAACATAGCCGCCGCCACCCCCATGCTTAGAATCACCACATCTTTGGCAGGAGTCCCTCCTTTGGAAGTTCAAATGCTGGCATGATCTACAGTTCCAATCTCCTGGCCTGCTCATCTTACTTTCCCTTCACTAAAACACACAATATAATTAAGTTTAAATATATGTAATTATCTATACGTATGCCATGCATCAAATGTCTAATATACCCTTAGAATGACAACAGGACTTTCCCACGTGAAAATGGGCAATTAGGTAATTTTCTTTTTTGCGTGAAGAAAATACCTAAATACCCATTAACAATTACCAATCAAGAAATCCTTACACCAAAATATAACAACCGTTAATTTCGATGATGGCAGCAAGGATTTACCTTGAAAATCTAACGAGTAAAGGAATACGTTACTTTTGAAATTACTAAATGTCTAAAAAAATCCCCATGCATATATTCTAAGAAATCAGTACACACCCTTGCTGACCAAATATTATCAATAATACTTAGTTTCTTACTAAGACGACAACCGCGTCGTTTTAGCTTCAAAATTATAATTTTGGGATGTTTTTTCTTGTGTAGAAGAGAAACACAAACACACAAGGGTGAAAAAGAAAACAAATTTACCGATTCATGTACGCATCTGCGAGTTTGTAAGAACTCGAGTGTACGTTGTAGATAAATGTAAATCATCTTGGAAAGTTTGGAAACAAAAAAGAAATGTGAGAATCTGTGTATATGCGGAGAATAGAAGTAGGGCTTACCTTATGGTGGTGGATGGGTAGAGAAAGGTAAAGGTGTAAGTATGTGATGTGTTTTGGAGGAGTTAGTTTGAATATGGTGGTGAGTGAGGAGTGAGTGGTTTATATATACATAAAAAGGCCTCGAAATTCGATGGCAGCTATTGCTATTGCGTACTCCTTTTTTCTTTTAGATTAATTAGCACTCTTGTTATTATACGTAATTAGTGTTGGATTAATCACTGAAATACCAAAAAATGAGGTAAACTATTACAAAACAATTACTATATATTAGGGTATGTTCAACGAAAACTAGCCCGGTAGTTAAAAGTCGTAAACTATACTTTTTAATTACATAAAATGTTTAGATATATATTTTAAAAAATTATAAAATAACATAAAACATAAAAAACCGAAAACCTCTTAAAGCCACATTAAATAAACTTTGAATTATTAATTTTTTGTTTAGAATATATACTTTAAACTTGTATTTACGAACGACGATTTTTTTTTAAATTCAAGTTGTTTAGAATATATATACTTTAAACTTGTATTTACCAACGACATTAAATTCAAGTTTTTTCTCGACAAAAAATTAAAAATATCTAAAAGCTCTTTAAAACTTATTGAAAAACATATGTTAGTTGAACATATATTACAAACGTATAATAAGTTCTACAAAAATCTTATCTTATGAAAATACTTTATAAATGACATTCTCTATAAAAGAAAGAAAAGGTAATTCTTTTCACAAGATGATCACGTCCAAATTATGTTTATTAAAACAAAATGATTATTATACTTTATAGATTAATTTCCAAAATTAGTATATATTTTTACCCTATAGAAATCACATATTTTGGTCATGGATTAAACCATCTTCTACATTATTTTAAAGATAATGTACCGTTGGAAAAAAAAACCTTAATATCATAAAAAAAGGATACCCCTTCTTCCTTAAAGTAGGAATTTTGAGACAAGACAAAGACGTCTGAATCGGAATCCGCATTAGAGAGTTATGATGTATATAAAATCATAATGGTTATATAATTATAAGCTAAAAACAAAAGTTAGAATTAGCCAAATCGACCAAAATGAAAGTTGTAGTAGACCTACACTGATATATAAGAGTCGTTGGAAACGGAGTTCGCATGCGAGAGATACAAATTTTAAAAATCATCCACACATGCACCCGCGCGCAGCGCGCGGCGTGCACCCTAACACCTCGATACAGCAGGATACGGATGATGCGGCACCATGAGAGGGAGACACGTGTCAGCCCCCAACGTAATTCACGTGCAACTTGCACAACGTGCTCTCCAAAATCTTCTACAAATAGCAAGCTTCGATAGAGCATTTCTCACACCTTCAAAATCATAATTCTCTCTCTCTCTCTCTCTCTCTCTCTCTCCCGATTCTCGTTTTCCGGACTTTCAACTCTACCCTACATCAACGGTTTCATGCATCAATGGTGAGTACACGGCCCTACTTTATAGTTTTCAAATATTTTACAGGGGGGATACGTGTTATATCAAAACTAAGTTTCATAATTATTACTAACTATATATCATTAGTTATATAATTATGCTTAGGACATTAGGATAATATTATGCCTGGTAGATACCATGCCCAACTTTTATGGGTAATATTATGCCTAGATGCTACACTGACTCAATGCCCAAAATTTATACCATGTCTTTATGCTGATAAAACATTTAGGGGAAACTTTTTTTACCTAGCTGTTACGGTAGCCAATCTATAGCCACCCTTTGGATAACTTTGTACCTAGTGGTTACACTGCCCGAATACCTAACTAAACTGAATGTTATAACATATATATATATATATATATATATATATATATATATATATATATATATATATATATATTATATATATATATATAGGATTAAGGTATATATGTATAATAAGTAACTCGTATAAATGCAACAAAGTGTTGTATTAGGTGTCTAAACTCATAACTATAATTGATATGTACTTGACCCGATAATAGCATGGTCCATTTGGGTTGCATTCACCGGAACAATTTGATAGGAAGGATATTTGAGAAAGAGGTTAATTGTGATTTAGAATATATTATAATAATAATATATTAATTGAGAAATCATATTATTTAATTGGTATTGATCAAGATTTAATTTGGAATTAATTTAGTGATCAAAAGAGACTGATTAAATTAACAGGGGTTGATTATGTAAATCAATGATACATATAGTTTGCGCTAATGATCCATGATTGATTAGTGATGGACTAAGCTTATGTGAGAGTCCATGACGTGTTAGTCCAAATGAGTTATTGGATCAAAAGCCTAAGTGAATGGATTAGGGTTTACAAGTGACTCTTGGAATTCTACACTATATATGTAACCCCTAAGCCCCTAAAATATGTACACAAGTAATCTAAGAAGAGTATAGACGATTTTGGTACCTCCTAAACCTCTCTCATAAAACTCTATTTGTGTCTTGGTGTTTTGTGACTTATTTGAGGCATCACATTTGAGGTGCTAAGCTCTTGTAGGGCCAAGTTCTACAAGCTACGACAAAGAGGTAATCATCTTACTTGTTTTTATGTTTCAGTTATCAATGTTATATGCTAGTTAGGCTTCATGCTTTGGAAAATGAAAATTGCATGTACAACTAGAGAAAACTTAGATCCAAAGCACTAGGGTTGTATGTGCACTGTAGGGATGTTATAGTGCTCAAAACCCATCAGTCGTATCAGAGCCTAGGGTGTTTTCTGTTATATAGATGCATTTTTTAATTGTTCAAAGTTGAAGCAAACTGAAATCTGCTCTCTGCCTGGTGGACTCGACGAGTCCTATGAAGGAACTCGACGAGTTGATCCCGAGTTGAGCCAACTCGACGAGTCCATTGCCTGACTTGACGAGTGGGATCATCTGTTTGCAGATTTTCATGTTTTTTTGGCCAGAATTGGATTAGGTTCATTACCATAAACTGTTTTATATCATAAAATCTGATTTTTTTTGATATAGTAGTGACTATCCTCATCCAATTAAAAGATAATTGTCAAATTTTAAGATAATTACTAGATTATATGATAAACTAATTATTTGTATTATTTGATTTGAAATTATCTTGCCATATGAGTTGAATTAGATCAAATTGGTAAATGATAAAAATATATGACTATTTTACTTGTTTAAAATTTGATCTAAATGGCTTTGAAGAGTTACAAAACTTTCCATCAAGTTTTGGAATTCAAAAGGTATTGAAGAGTTACAAAATTTCCCATCAAGGTTTGGAATCCAAAAGGTTTTGAAGAGTTTCAAAACTTGTCCTCATGTTTTGGAATTTAAAAGGTCTCATTTATGAAACATTAAAATTCAAAAATTCAAGATTTTTTGAAGAGTTTCAAAACTTGCCCTCAAGTTTTGGAATTTGAAAAGTCTCATTTATGAAATATTAAATACTAAACCCTAGAATTTTGAAAGGTTAAAATTCAACCCTTATACTATTATAATATAAAAAGATTAATACTTATATATATATATATATATATATATATATATATATATATATATATATATATGTCCAAGACAGTTAGTCTTACCGTTAGTAGGCCTCATTCACGAAGCCGATCTATAAGGGGGGTATAAGGAAACTGCCTATAAAATGGTGGTTGAATTGGTGTCCACTCTCACCCACCGCTTCCTTGATTGGTGGAGGGTCGTTAGCCAAACGGGTAGGATAGGACATTAATCATCATTAATAAGTATAACTATATTATAAAGTAACTAAACTTTTATATATTCCCAATCTTAGTTACTTTAGGAAAATGTGAAATTTGTGTTATTCCATGAAATTGCACTTTGCACCTTGCCAAGTCGTTAGTGGAGCGTGTGTGGTTAACCGGCACACTAACTTGGACTAACAAGGGTCGCAAAGGGTAGCTCGATGTTTGTTATAGATCAATGGAGCGTGTGTGATTTATCGGCACATTAATTAGGTGATAAATGACATCGAGGGTACCAAGCACATTTGCATGGTTATTCACACCTTGTTTGTGATCCTCGGTATCCCAGTCACAAACTTGAAGGACATAATCGAGATTTAAACATGCCATTGAAAAGTTCAATGAATCTCAAAGATCTAGGAATTTCAATTCATTTAAAACTTAATCCTAAATTTCGTTTTTCATGGTGGAAATTGGTAAACTGTCATTTACCTACCTTCAAATATTTTGCTATTGGATTACGGCATCCCTCTTCCGAATTGTGAAATATTGTGTTGGGTTCTTGCCTTAATATTTCATTTGGGTGTTATATTAAGGATTCTTATCTAATCTAAACTTTGTCTCTCTTTTCAGATGTCTACCCCAAACGTTGTTGGTTCCAACCCTTCTGGCTCTTTCTCCATCATGAACTTATGTGGGAGGGTGATTTTCGATGGGTCGAATTTCAATGACTGGATTCGAAACAATATGATGGTCACTCGTTACGAGGATAAGGAATATGTCCTCGATAAAGAGCTAAAGCAGGTTGATGAAGCGACTGCTACTCCTGAAGAAATTGTTGAATATAGGGCTTATGAGAAGGACACGACAAAGGTGTCGTTCGTCATGCTTGCCACTATGACAGCTGAACTCCAAAAGTCCTATGAGGACTACTATCCTTTCGAGATGCACCAATACTTGATGGAAAGGTACCATCAAAGTGCTCGACAAGAAAGGTATGAAATCATTTCCTCCATGATAACAACCAAAATTAAGGATGGAGAGTCCATCACGGCCCAATTACAGAAGATGCAAAGATATGTGGACCGCTTGCTGAAGTTGAATGTCAATTTTGATGAAGAGTTGGTTATCGACATTATCCTACACTCTTTACCTTCTTGTTATGATCAGTTCAAAATGACTTATCATATGAACAAGGAGGAAGTCACACTAAGAAAGCTTCAAGGCCTTCTTAGAACTGCTGAAAGTAGTTTGAAAGGAAAATTTGTAGTACCTACTCCTACTGCTGCTGCCCCAGTCCTAGCAACTGGACATGGTAAAGGGAAGAAAAGGAAAGCTCCTACAAAGGATCACAAGGAAAAGTATCGTGATGGAGCCTCTTCTAGTGG